TTTCTGTTTTAAACCATGAAGGCGAGCCAATGGATATCACACACAAGCAACGTGCAAACTTTGCACAAGAACGTCTTAATCTCAGTCAATTCACTATACAGAAAGTGAAAGTAAAAACGGAATGAGCAAGCTTTCGGCATCTGATGCCACATATTCTCTCAGAGATGAATCTACTTCAACATATGCTGATAATGGTATATAGCTAACTGTTTTCATTTATTCCCTTAACATTTCTCTTGTGGCCTGTACATAGTGGGAAAAAAAGAGAAGAAACATATTTCGTGTTAAACAGGTTGTTTTTGAAAGTCGGTGCTTGAAATAGGCCTATAGGCTAAGCTTTTTATTTCATTGATTTTTATTGATGACTGCAGTGTTAATATTTTAATTAAAGACCTATAATTCATCGTATAATAGACCTGTTTTAAAAAAAAATATATTTTTTTTTTTATATTTTAACTTAGTAAATAGCTTAATCTTTTGTTATCCTCGTAGCGTGTCAGTTATGCGGTAATTATTGCGGGGCAAATTAATTGTAATTTAATAAAAGTAACTTCATAATAATAATAGGCCTAATAAAAATAAGAATGTAACATGCCTACATTAATTGGATGTAGCCAATAATTGACAATATCTCTGGATATCGTCGATACAAGATTTTTGAAGGTCTGTGCTTTAAATATAGGCTAAGCTTTTTATTTAATTGATTTTTATTAATGACTGCAGTGTTAATATTTTAATTAAAGACCTATAATTCATCGTATAATAGACCTGTTTTAAAAAAAAATATATTTTTTTTTTTATATTTTAACTTAGTAAATAGCTTAATCTTTTGTTATCCTCGTAGCGTGTCAGTTATGCGGTAATTATTGCGGGGCAAATTAATTGTAATTTAATAAAAGTAACTTCATAATAATAACAGGCCTAATAAAATAAGAACGTAACAAGCCTACGTTAATTGGAAATGCCAAATCTTCTTAATATTGCCAAACATGATGTTTTGACAATATCTTTGGCTATCGTTGATACAAGATCATCGTCTTTCGACGCACCCCAGCAATGGGAGGTTATCGCGGGGAAGACAGCATGTTGCCTGTTACGTCGTTTGGGCTGCCTTGTTGAG